AAAAAAAAAAAAAAAAGAACGGTATGCAACCATTGATATGTATATTTAAATTTGTTTGTATTTTTTTTTCTCTCTATTACACTTCTATTTTTAAAACTATTGCCTACTGCCTGTAATAATATAGGCTTAGGATTGGTTTTTTTTTTTTTAGAAGCTTACATCGTTGGAACGTTCAATAATACGACGAAGAAATAAATTTTCAAATCTTGACGATGAATCGCAGGCTTTTGCAAATAAAGGTTAGTTTTTTTAAGAAGAAGAAAAAAAAAATGAAGAGGTAAAACAATTTTGTTTTTTTCCGGCAATTTTTTAATTTTATTTTTATTTGAAATCAAGAAAAAAATTTTTTTGTTCTTAGTTTTCTTCTCTTTTACCTTTTTTCCTTTTAGTTTTTCAGAGCTGACTCCCCAATACGCTGTGTCTCCTGCAACCTTTTTTCTTTTTATCCTTCTAATCGTACAGCTTTTTTTTTTTCTTTTGGAAAATTATAATTGAATTACTGAGCGGCATATAATTTAAAAATATTTTAAGCCACCAGAACAGTGGGAAAGATCGGGTGAAGTTAGAATTGGGAGAGAAGTTGATTGGAAAAGCGAAGAAATGAAGACAGCGGATATGTGTTTTAGTAATTTGATCAGTTTTAAATGAACAGATTAAAACTTAAAGGGGAAGGGGGGGGGGGGGAAAAGCAGAGAATTTCAAATCATAAACCAGTGATCATCACCTACACAGGTTTCTGGCTTATTTTTTTGGACTGTTCACGGTGCTGATACGTGCATTAGTGCAATGAACAGCATTAAAATAACAGGTTTTTTTCCCCTATTAATATATGCTAAAATTTCCAATAATAATGATAAAAACCGTAATAAGCAAAAGTAAAATGGTTGTTTAGTTTTGTTGCTTTTACTGCCTGTTTTCTTTTTTTTTATTTTTACAGAAATTAAACTGGTTCTGGTGCTGAGCTGAGCACTTTTTTTCGGGAGCTTTTTGTCTTCAAAATTTTAACATTTTTAGTATACCAAAAGGATGAAAAAATTTCTGTAAGAAAATAAAAGTAGGAAAAAGACTGACAAATTATCGTTGATCTAAGAAAAAAAAAAAAAAACAAAAACAAAAATAAAAAGTGAAATTTCTTCTTTTTGTTTTCTTTATTTAAACGATTTTCTCCTCTTCCATTGTATCCGTCTCCGCCGCTTGTCCCCTCTTCTCGCTTCTCTTCTCCGTTGCCGTTTTCTACGGATTTTTCACACAGATAATATGACCGTTTTTTTTTTTGTTGGTAAAAAGCACCATCGGTAGGGATCAATCGAAAAAGAAAAGTATAGAGTTTTTTAAACGGTTTGAACGGTGCAGAAGAAATGAAAAAAAAATGATAGCAAATCTTCGACAAGTAGATTTGTTTTTTCTTTTTTTCTTATATATATATATATATATATATATATTTTTTTTTACAGATATGAGGGGTACACGTGAGATTTAGTTGACTAAAACAGTTTGGGTTACAAAATAAGAAAAAAGAAAATGATATATATATATTTTTTAGTTTTTTCCACAGTTTTATGATTACATTTCCCCCCTCCTCCTCCCAAAAAGAAAATACAGATTGTGCAGATGAAAAAAAAAAATGCACAGAAAAATTTATCATTTTTTTCCTGCTGTTTTCCATTTTTTTTGCTTTTTTGTTCATAAAACAATGAGCAACAAATTTAGCATTTATATGTAACTGTCTGTCTGCACTTTTTTTTTTTTTGCTGCTGCTTACATGTTTTTTCATTTGTTATTATTATAGAAAAATAACTTTTAATTTGAAGAAAAAAGGAGTTAAGCAATTCCCTGTCGGAAGAAATCAACGCTGATGGAGAAACTGTATATTGCGTTACGTATAAAACCTTCATTTTTGTTCCAGTCTTTTTTTTTTTTTTTTACCCTTATAATCCGCTTGTTTTCCAAGCGAGTAGAAACTATACAATTCTCAAATATTATCGGCTAAATTGATTTTCCTTCTTTTTTTTTTTTTTTTTTCTGGTTCATTCCCTTTCTGTTTTGTTTGGATTGAAGGAAAAAAACTTAAGCAAAATGACGGAATAAAAAAAAGTAGTCATCTGTTTAGCTGTTAAATGTAATAAATGTCAGTTAGTCTGTTCACTGGTCACTGAGCATGGAAACTGGGGAAGTGACGGAGTATTATCTTCCTTTTATTCGCCTTTTTCTTCCCAGTCTCTCTCACCGATCAAAATTGCCCCGTCGTTTCACAAATTCCTCTCCGGTGCTTTTTTTTTCTGCTCTCCCTCCAGTCATTCGCTTTTTCAGTTCAGTTTTTCCTTTTTAGAACTTCGCATTTACTGCTACGAAATTTTGTTATAAAATATCTGTCAGTTAAAGTCTAAGACCAAAAGAATTTTGGTGAAGGGGTAATGAAAAGGAAAAGGAAGGGAAGAGAGCAGAAAAAGCGCAAAGAAAAAAAGCAACAGCAAGAGTTGGATTGAGTAGCGATTGATATAATTTGTGTAATGAATGCAATTGAAATTTTGTAACAATGGATTCTTTTATATCTTTTTTTTTTGAAAAAAAATTTTTTTTTTGTCCCAGTTTGTTTAAAAATTTTTTTTATTTCATCTTAAAAAGTTGTTAATTTCTTTCCTCTCTTTCTCCTCTGTACCCCCATTTTTTCCTTCTCATTTTTTCCTGCCTATTTATAATTATTATTGTTCAAAAGTTCTATGTGTCAGTTAAACAGTTGGA